GCGCCTGGGTAGCTCAGCTGGCTGGGCATCCACCTCGTGATTTTGGCTCGGGTCATGGTCCCAGGGTCGGGAGACCGAGCCCCATGTCAGCGTGGAGCCTTTTTGGGATTCTGTCTCGCCCCTGCCCCTGCCCCACTCATGTTCTACCTCTCTCTCAAAATAAACATTAAAAAAAATTCAAAAAGATAAAAAGAAACAGGTTACAAGGACTCAAGAAAATCACCCTGGAAAACCAAGAGTTAGCTCCCAGACTAGGAGACAGCACTGTAGGCACGGAAACGACTTATTTCCTACAGGGGCAGTCACTGCTGGAGGCCGGAAACGTGGCCGTGGGCCAGCACAGCTGCGGCGGCCCCTGACGGACCTGACGGGGGAGTCAGGAGGCCCAAGTTGTGTGAGCAGCCACGCTCCGACGGTCACAGGGGAGCAAGGAAATGGAACACGGTCCGAAAGCCGCCAGTCCTCTGCTCTCAGTCGGGAACTAGGCTGTCGCGTCTGGTTTCGTAAAAGCACACCCTTCGTGAGTGCGCACGTGCATCACTGGTACAGGTACCGTATTCTATAGGGTTTCTTTGTCCTGTGGACTCAAGCCTAGGGAACCCATGCCAGAGGCAAACGAAAAACAAAAAAAACAAGAGTCACTCGCTAAACAGGGTTTTCATCTAAAAACCCTGTGAACAGTCCCACCTCCTGCTTTTCCGAGCTGCAGCGACGCGAGTGGCTCACTGCTAACGCATCATGCAGGCTGCAGCCCCCCCTGCTGACCAGGCAGTGCAGGCTCCCGCCAGGCAGAGGCCTCCGGCTGCAGGCGCGGGCATGACCGAAGAACAGAGGGACTGGGCCCACAGGCACAGCACACAAGCCCCTGGCCAGGCTGTGCTGATGCCCAAAGGCCCATAAAAAGGTAAAACTTCCCCTTCTCCGACACCACTGGAAATCAGTGCCAAAGGGAGAACTTTCTTATTTTTGTATCTATACGTCAACAAACGTGCTAGCTCATCCTCACTCAGCTAAGAGAAAATGCACACGGCCTGAGTGGTGCTTGTCCACTCACTCTATTTTCACTCCCAAGTCCACGTGTCCTCAGCTACATACAGTAAATCAAAGCATCAACTTCTGTCTTGGAGCCTCCAGATGCAAGAGGCCTCAGAGACAGACACAGCTCCACGCCTGCCCTACACCACTACTGACCCCATGAGAAAAATAAGCCAAAGAAACCCTGTCACAGGGCCACACTAGAAATAAGAAGCCCTAGGGGACCTGGGGGCTCAGCTGGTTGAGCGTCCAACTTCGGCTCAGGTCACAGTCTCACGGTTCGTTTCGCGGGTTTGGGCCTGGTGTCAGGCTCTGTGGTGACAGCTCGGAGCCTGGAGCCTGCTTTGGATTCTGTGTCTCCCGCTCTCTCTGCCCCTCCCCTGCTCGTGCTCTTTTTCTCAAAAATAAGTAAAACATTAAAAAAAAAATGAAAGCCAACCTTTAGGGAAAAAAAAGAGGGCACCTAGGTGGCTCAACTGGTTGAGCATCTGACTTCGGCTCAGGTCATGATCTCGTGGTCTGTAAGTTCGAGCCACACGTCGGGCTCTGTGCTGACAGCTTGGAGCCTGGAGCCTGGTGCAGATTCTGTGTCTCCCTCTCTCTCTGCCCCTCCTCCACTTGTACTCTGTGTGTGTGTGTGTGTCTCTCTCTCTCTCAAAAATAAACATTAAAAAAAAAACTTACAAAAAAGAAATAAGAACCCCTTCATAACCAATCACGTTTCTCATAGCGTATCTCTCCAGAAACAACCATCATATATCCACCAGGTAACAAAAATACCCCCAAATCATACAGACATGTGAACCATGACCCCAGCATTTCCTATGCTGCACAGTCAGAGGGTGGCAGACAAGGCAGACCTAATATTAAAACAGTCTTAAACACGCACTTCCAACAGCATCCAGTAACACAAATAAATACTTGGCTCTTTTTGCAGAAAATAAAAATAAAACCTTTCAGACAATCAAAAAAGGCAAATGAAAACAGAATGTTACTGAAGGCTCTTTACCATGCAGAGAAATGATGGGAATCACACGAGGAGTCGGGCCCACAGGAACCCCCCGTGCTCCCCGTGCTTTGGCTGGCCTGCACACAGCAGGGGGGCCCGCGCCCCTGTAAGGACCGCATGTGCACTGTGCCTGGCACAGCAAGGCCTCCCGTGTCATGGGAGGGAGGTTCCCATTGGTGCCACAGAGGGCTGTGCAGATAGAGTACATGCTGCCCTTCTCAGCCCAGCCCCCAAGGCCCGGACCACATGCCACTCATCCAGTGTGGGATGAGCAGTGCTTAGGGACTGAGGGGCACATCGGAGAAGCTCCAGCCCAGCAGCCGGCTCTGGAACTGAAGCATCAACAACAATTACAAAAACAAAGGAAGCAATCCTGGCATCTACAGCGGCCTCGACTACAGTAACGAACAAAATACCAGCTGAGGAGTGGGGAGGCGACCGGAGTCAGCAAGGTCACCGCCTCCACACACTCGAGGCGATAACAGACTCAGGAGAGGATCACGGAGGATGTCAGACCCAGTGGGTAAAAGGTCGCGGGGGGAAAAAGATGCTCACATCACCCGAGTATCACTTCACTCATGTCAAAGTGGAAAACACATTTTGCCGTGGGGACACCTGGGGACGCCCCTGTGCTCCAGGCCTGCATCCCCGACAGGACACCAGACGGTATGTGTGCTCTGCTGGGGACACAAAGCACACAATGATGGCTATGAGGACTTCTGGCAAAAAAGGCAACCAGGAGAAAAGCAGAGTGTGGGACATTCTACCAGAGAACGGCTTAGATTCTTCACAGAAATCATCCACGCCATAAAGATAACCGCAGGGCCGCCTGGTGGGCTCGGTCGGTTAAGCACCTGACTCTCCACTTCAGCTCATGATCCCAGGGTCGTGGGCTGGAGCCCCAAGTCAGGCTCTGTTGCCGACCGCGCAAAGCCAGCCTGGGGTTCTACCTCTGTCTGCCCCTCCCCCACTCTTGATCTCGCCCTCTCCCTCTCTCTAAAATAAATATATGAGAGGCACCTGGGTGGCTCAATTGGTTAAGCATCTGACTTCAGCTCAGGTCACGATCTCACAGTTCATGAGTTTGAGCCCCGCATGGGGCTTTGTGCTGACAGCTCAGAGCCAGAAGCCTGCTTCAGACTCTGTGTCTCCCTCTCTCTCTGACCCTCCCCTACTCACGCTCTCTCTCTCTCTCAGAAATAAATAAACATTTTAAAAAAATTTTTTTAATAAAAATAAACGTATGAACTTAAAAGAAAAAAAAAATCAGAAATGGTCAGAGGGCTGTCCTAGATTGAAGGAGCACAGAAAATGAGTGCATGGAGCGAATGAGCCCGAATGAAGTCTGAATGAATACATCAGAGGCCACACGGGATAGAGCGGAACCGGGCTGGGTGTCAGATGCCGCCCCAGAACTCTGCTCTCACTCTCTTCGGGGGAACGGCACCTGTAGCCATCAGGGGATGCGCCCGGTGTGGAGGGGAGAGGTCAGGATGGGGCGGCTCCTCGCACAGGGCCCCAGCAGACAGCACTCCCAGGCACGGTGTGCCCAGACGCACAGGGGTCCGCGTGGGCACGCAGACAACGCCCGACGTGGTGAAGCAACTGCCGCCGCTGAGGCCGGGAGCAGAGTACGTGGGGTGTCGCCACACTATTCCCTTCAAATCCACATCCGCCAGAGCCTCCTCGAGACAAACCACTGGGGAGAGGAGACGAGCACGCTCGGGGCAGGGCTGGGCATGCAGGGCCCCAGCTCACCCTGAGCGCCGGTGACCGCACGCGGCTCCTCCGTCCTCTGGGCCCAGAGCGAGCCCTCCCTCAGGGCAGACGGAGGACAGCCGCCCCCCTGCATTGTCCAGGCTGGCCTGACCGAAAGCTGTCCCTCAACGGCCCTAAGCAGAGCCAACGGGCCCTACATCTGACAGCAGAGACACCGCTAGAGCTGCCCCGCACGCAGCCAACGCCGCAGGAGAAGCCGCCGCCAACGGAGAGCTTCGGTCCCAGCGCTGCGGCAACGAGGCTCGATCACCGTCTCTCAGAACAAACAAAGAGCCCGGCACGTGCGGGTCACGCTCGCACTCCCGCCCCAGCACACACCACTTCCTTCCGGCCGCAAGCTTCTCGAAGAGCTCTGTCCCCGTGTCCGTGTGAACACAGCATGAATTCTCGACACTGAATCTCTAACTTCATACCTGACGTTAAACACATACAACAGGCTTGTTTAGGGAGTGCGTCCTATGAAGGAATAAAGAAAATCCGTATTTTCAAGCAGCCAAAGGAGCAAGCATGCATTCATTAACAAGTGTTTACTGAGCACACAGGACCTGTCCGGACACACGAAGCTCAGGACACACACTGCCAGAGAGACACAGGGACGATCTGGTCCAGAGAGGCACATGCAGGGGGGGCGGTGGCAGAGGGAGCAGGTGACAGGACACAGTCAGGAAGTGTGACAGGGAGGTCATCCTGTTCCCGGAGCGGATGGGCACAGCGGGGACACGTGTGGGACGAGTAAGTGGAGAGATGGTCATGTAATTGATTGGGAATGGTCCGACTGGGGAAAAGTTTGTGGAAAGAAGAATTCTGTTAAGACACGGGCGATGCCTGAGCTGCCCACCAGATGGCCAGGCAGAAGGAGGAAGGGCGTGCGTGCGTGTGCCCCCCGGTTCCGGTCTCAGCAGAGGCCGCACGTGCCACCAACCCTAGTGCTTCCTGACTTCCCTGCTGCCCCTTCCCGCCCCGATCCATTTCCCTGCGAGACCTTCAGTGACTTCATCTTCTAAATCCTTGCAAACACCCAAAGAGCTAAATGCTTAGGGAAAGAGTAGCCATTTTGGAAGACAGTGGAGCTAGAAATTAATAATGGAAATTAAGATAAGAATTAAGTTTTAATATCCACCTGCAAAATTTTTTTCACAAACAGTTAAAGAGAGATCTCTAAATGACTGTGACTCACTCCGTATGGCCCTGGAAGACATTCACGGAGTGGATGGAAGGGTCCCTGAAATCCCAAAGACGGAAAGTCGTGTCCCGGGAGGAGGTCACCACAAGCCGCTGGGTGGGGTGTGTGCAACAGTGCGTTAGCTCCTGGTCATGCCCTACAACCAAAGACGACAAAAATGCAAGATCATCCACCTGCAGGCAGTTACAGCGATGCTTTCTTAAGACAAGAATCAAAACCTCTTTATGGTCTCTACTGCTCACGGTCTCTGTACAAGTGACCGCAAGTAGGGAATGATAAGAAGTCACTTAAAAACAGCATGTGGGGTCACGGTGGAACTGGTTTTCCCTCGGGAGCTGGAGTCCTTCCATCCATGCATTTAGAGGGATCAGCAAAATTAGTGCAAGTGTGACCCACCTCCTGATCCTAACAGGCAGAAGGTCTGGCAAATCTCTTTAGTAGCCTAAGTATGTGAACAAACTAATTCTTAATCTTCACTTCCGGAGTAACTTCTAATACTAGAATACGTGGAGCCCTTAGAAAAATACAATCTTTAACACTCAATAAGGAAATTCACTTACTGACAAATTTGCAAAAACGCCTGTAGTGGGCATAACTCTAAGATGGCCCGGTGACCCCCTTCCCTGGCATACACCCCCTGGAGGGTACCTGCCCTTGACTTGGTGCAGAACCTGTAAATTTGACGAGATATCACTCTGGTAAGCTCGGTACATTAGAAGGCAAAACAGATTCTGCAGATGTAACTAAGACCTCCAAAGCAGTGGCTTCGAGTTAATCAAAAGAAACCCTGTCCTGGGTGGGCGTGCCGTAATCGGGCGGGCCCTGGAAGAGATGCCCTCCTGGAAGCAGGAGAGACAGCACACGGCTGTGTAGGGAGACAGCTCCGGAGGCCACACTCGGGATGCTGGGAGTGGTGGGTCCCCAGCTGGCAGGCAGCAAGAATGTAAGGACCTCAGCCACAGGCCACAACAAAATGAATCCTTCCACCAGCGCTTAACCCCCAGATGAGAGCACAGCCCCACACCACACCTTCACTTCACCCATGAGACCCTGAGCACGGGACCAGCGAGCGTGTGCCCAGAACTCCAGACCCAGGGAAACCATGAGCTTATAAATCCATGTTATTTTAAGACGCTAAGTTTCTGGAAATTTGATACAAAGCAACAGGAAGATGGCAGACCAAGCATTTTCAAATATCTAGATATTACAAGCTACAATTAAATCCCTTAGAGATAAGATACACTGAGCTTACAATCAGTTCCTAATCTAGAAAGGATCCTTAAAAATCACAATCTGAGTACCACAAGAACTAAAAATAATCGTGGACAAGAAGTAATTTGCAAGCTAAGATATAAACCCATATGCACATCAATCAAAAGTATGCAACTGGAAATCACAAACGTTTCAAGTACCTGTCAGAGAGTGGACGAGTTCTGCCGTCTCCACGTCAAACAGATTGGCCGTTCTGTCCCAGGAGGCCGTCACTGCCTGCTTCCCCCCAACCAGCCAGTCAGCGGCTATGACCACTCCCTGGTGGCTCTTAAGAGACGTCAGTGGCAGCCGGATGGTAGGACAGTCACTGGACACGTCCGCGTCCACATCAGGCTCATCTTTATCGGAGCACTCCACCTCATCTTCGCCACATATCTGCTGCTGATGGTGAGAGCAGAGGAGAAATTCCCTGGGAATCTTGAGTCTTTTCTGACACGGCTACACAATCGACTGTTGTCACTGGTCTTTCTAGGACTCGGTCGTCATTATGACCAACACCAGCACAGTGTCTGGCAAGTATCTGGAGCTCGATGACTGCTAATCAACTTCACGATTATCTACTTGGCTAAAACCCACAACCAAGTATAAGAAGAGAACGAAATTAAGGCCACTATGACATCAATGAACTATAGTCCACTTCCAGTCAGCAAAAAAATAGGCAAATAAAATGATTTTCACTTTAAATTTTTACCACTATTAGTAGCAATGTAATAAAATACATTTGAAAGTCAATAATTTATCACAATAAAGAGAGAAACACTTTAATTCTCAGGAGGCCACTTAGAATTCTATTGCTATAGGAATAAGAGTTCACTTTATTTTCCTGTAAGGTCTTTTGTCAAAAACTAAAATGAAAACATAAATGGCTTCAGCCCTTTAAGAAACTATATTGATCTTTCCTTCAACAAATACCAGATGCTTACACCCCGGCAGACCACACGCCAGCCCCGCAGCAGAGAAAAATGACTTCTGTCTGACAGGACATGTGGGACAACAGGACTGGAGCCAGAGAGGCCGGAAACGTCATTTCACGGCGCTTCCTGCCAGCGCGGGAGACGGAGCACACACGGGCACGCGCGCACGCACTCGTATGGCAACGTACAGTATACGTATACACACACTAGCGTGGAAATACATGCCACGTAAACACACACGCTACAGTGAGAACGTCACAAATAGTATAAGGAAATGTGTCACATGTACACACACAGTATAGAGATATACATCACACACACGCACAGTGTACGAATATGGGTCACACATACGCACAGCAGAGAGATATGGGTCACACGTACACACCATGTAGAGATATAGGTCACCTGTACACACAGTGTGGGATATAGGTCACATTTACATGCGCGTAGTATAAGGATATCTCTCACACACACACACACACACACACACACACACACACACACACACACACACACATCCAGGCATTAATAAGCACTAGGAAGAAACAAAGAAGAAGAGATGAACAGTCATGAGGCCTACTTTAGACAGAATCATCAAGGAAAGGCCCTCTGCTAAAGTGACACTGGAGTTACAGCATGAAGAAAGCAAGGGAACAGGCACAAACAGTTAGGGAACAGCACTGCCAGCTGGACAGCAGGTGCAAAAGCCCCAAGAAGCTACACTAAGAGCCACTCTGTAGGGGCAAAGGTGGGAGAGGCGGACTCAGAGAAGGCGAGAGAGACACAGATGCTGACGGAGGGTCAGAGTCCCGCATGCGGTAAGGAGGAGCCCCAGCACTGACGGCCACGCAGTGTGGAGCTAGGGGTGGATTCCGGAAGCGTAACCTGCTCCGAGTGAAAGACCCCGACCGGTAACCACACCCAGGCAGAAGGAGCAACACGGTCCCGTAAATCCCGCGTGGGGAGGCCGCGATTCAGGGCGCCGGGTGCGGCCGCGGCTCCACAGATGTCGGTGGGTGTTACAGAAGGCGTGTCCCGGGGAGACAGAGAAGTGCCTCCCAGAATTACAGCAGAACCAGAAGCAAGGAGATGCCAGAGCGGTGGGAATGGAAGATGGAAGGCAAATGGGGAAAGAAGAAACATGTCAAAAATAATCCCAAGCTTCCCAGAGAGTTCTGCTCCCTGTTACCCAGACCCGGCGCCCCTGCAGTGCTAGTCCCCGTGAAGGAAATGACAGGTAAGCGTGAACGCAGGACTTCTCCAAGTGGGTCCAGGGGACCCCCATTTCAGAGAGCTCTAGCTATCAGGATCCATGATGGAAACATCAGCAGGAACCTTTACAGAAATCATTTTCCCAAACTAGACTAGAGTTAAAAGTACTTTAAAATGCTAAGGTAGGGGCCCTGGGCGGCTCAGTCGGTTAAGCGTCCAACTTCAGCTCAGGCCACGATCTCACAGTTTGTGAGTTCGAGCCCCACACTGGGCACTGTGCTGACAGCTTGGAACCTGAAGCCTGCTTCCGTCTCCCTCTCTCTGCCCCTCCCCCTCTTGTGCTCTGTCTCTCTCCCCCAAAAACAAATAAATGTAAAAAAAAAAAAGATTTCTTTTAATAAAATAAAATAAAAGACACAAAACACTCAGCTAAAAATGAACTGTTCTGCTTGTTAAACATCTTACTGATTTCAGCCGAGGTAGTGACCCCAGGGTTGGGGGCTCAAGCCCCATGTCGAACTCCACGCTGGGCATACAGCCTGCTGCAGATTCTCTCTCCCTCTCTCTGCCCCTACCCTGCTTGCACTCTCACACTCTAAAATTTTTAAAAATTTTTCTTAATTAAAAATAAAAATGAACTGGGGCGCCTGGGTGGCTTAGTCGGTTAGGCGTCCGACTTTCGCTTGGGTCATGACCTCGCGGTTCGTGGGTTCGGGCCCCGCGTCGGGCTCTGTGCTGACTGCCGGCTCAGAGCCTGGAGCCTGTTTCAGTCTGTGACTCCCTCTCTCTCTGACCCTCCCCTGCTCACGCTGTCTGTCTCTCTCTCTCTCTCCTTGAAATAAATAAAACATTAAAAAATTTTTTTAAAAATAAATAAATAAAAATGAACTGTTCAGACTCCTGCACTGAAGACGACTCCTACTCATCACTGTAATTTCTTAACTACTTAACTCATCTCCAAAGAGAACAACAAAATGTTTCAAAGAAAGAAACAAGTAACCCTGGGCTCCGCACATCCCAGGGCCGTGTCCACCAGCGTGTGCGGCACAGGGCCAGGCTGACCCCTAGGGTCTCCTGCAGCGGAACTACGGAGAAGGCTCCCCAAGGTCTCTGTGTGACTGGACACAGGGTGCTGGGCTAAAGGGGAACAACCACATCCGAGGGGAAAAAGGTAACTGAAGGCCTTATGGTCTGAATCCACCCACCCTTCCTCCAATACACAACCCCTGCTGTTACCTGCCTACCTTTACCCGCTTGAAAATGACGACACACACACTGACTTCCACAGTTTACCTACGTTTGTTTGTTATTTTCATTTATTTAGTTTTGAGAGAGATACGGAGCAGGGAAAGGGCAGACAGAGAGAGACTCTCAAGCAGGCTCCGCGCCACCAGCACAAGAGCCCAGTGCAGGGCTTGAATTCACAAAATGTGAGATCATGACCTGAGCTGAAACCAAAAGCCGGACACTCAAGCGGGTGGGCCACCCAGGCACCCCCACAGTTTACCTCATGTGAAAGACAGACCAGGGGTCTAAAACATATAAAATATTAGGAAACATGACTTAACCATATAATTTTAAACATTAATGGCCAACATTTAGTACTTGTGGAATGGGGGGCGAGAACACACGTGCATACGTATATAAACAGAGACACTTCACGTTTGACACCGTCCTGATCTGTTCAGGCTTCCAGAACAAAACACCAAGACCGAGCGGCGATGATCAAGGTGCAGCCCATTCGGTTTCTGGTGCGAGCCTTCCCGGTGTGTCATTACGCCCTCCCGTGGCGGCTCCCGGGTACAGCAGCGAGGGAACGCGTGAGCTCCCTGGGGTCTGAGGAAGGGCACTAATGCTATGCCAACAGCACCCCGGCCTCAGGACCTCTCTTCCTTAGAGGCCCATCTCCAAATAGAGCCACACGGGGGGGGGGGGGGGTGGTCAAACTCTGAAGGGGGGCCACAAACATCAGTCTGAAGAGGATATAGATTTACCCTAAACTCTGCGAGCGTCCAGAACCCTACAACACACCCCATGTCGTGCTTTCAGGGTAAGTAAAGGTGCTTACAGTGCTGTCGGCCACAGGCTGGGGTGTCGGCAGCTGAACGGCATATCTCCAAATGTGGGCGGTCTGATCTCCAGAAGCTGAGGACAGAAATCAGGGCACAGTTACCCACAGTGCACACCAGGTGTAAGATGCTTTCTGGTAGGTGCTAAGCGTCATCAGACTTCTGTAACTCAGCGATAGTGAGCTGCTTCTGAGACTACATGATGCTGCTGACAACACGCTAAATGCATAAAATTAACATGGTGGTTAAAAATATCCCCTCCTTTCTTTTTACGGTAAAAAGCAGCAAAGGTTCAGGCAAAATTTACAAGTAATCGGTTATACTGTCCATCTATCTGAGCTAAGTAAACCAGAACACAACTGCACTTCAGCTTGGGGCCCTAACAGCTTGCAGTACTTCAGAAAAGTGAGCCCCACACGTGCCCTCCCCTGCCCTCGGGGTGGGTGGGCTCACGGCCTGCTGGGCCCTTACTTCCACCAGCCGGGGGTGCAGGCTGCTGCTCGCACGGGGACGGAGAAAAGGGCGGGGGAAAGGCACACAGACATGAGGGGTGGGCGTCTACACGTGCCCTCACAAAGTACCATCTGAACTGCACTTCTCTCTGTGGCTAAGAGGCTCCCCGAAGTGGCCACGTGTGAACGCAGACATATTTCTCGGGCTGTCAGACGCACTCACTGCCTGCCCTGCTAGCTCTCCTGCCCTACACGCACACCTCCATCGAGCACCCTCTCTCCCTCCCTCCTCACCCCAACTCTAGCCACCACCGGTCCTCCCCTCCTCACCCCAACCAACTCTGGCTGTCACCGTTCTTCCCCCACTTCCTCACCCCAACTCTGGACATCACAGGTCTCCCTCCCACCCTCCCTCTGGCCATCACTGGCCTCCTCCGCTCTCCCTCCTCATAATCGCACACTGATTTCATGAGCTGGAAAGTTCTCACCTACTTTATTCCCCACACGTTTACTTGGGCATCAACGAGCTGTGGTCAAGATCCAGCTGTTCAGACCCAGCATATTCTGCTGACGTGGAAAAGCATCTGACTGGCCCTGCTCTCACGCTCTACCCCAGAGTCCGCAGAGTCTGGCCCACGGGCCACGGCCACGGCCACTCGCCCGTGCACCACCGCTCCTACTTTCACACTAACACACAGCTGAGTGGCTGTGACTCAGACCACGTGGCTCTCAAAGATGAACATGTTTAGTTCTGATCCTTTACAAACAAGCTTGCTGACCTCCACCCTCTCCAAACGTTACCCCTCAAGATCATTGTTGGTACTCCCCAAGTTCACAGGAGTCTACAGACATCAGACAAGTTTACTGGAAGACTCCTCAGTCCAACAACGAAGCTGTTTTACAAACTGCTACATAAAATTACAGCAAAACCACGGTACGGCCGCTGAGGAGTGGCTCCCAGAGAGGAGGCAAAACGCTGGCCCTGCACACTGCCATGGCGGGGCCGCTACTTCTGCCCTCTCTGCTTCTGATGCGTGCAGGGGTAGGGACGTGTGGCGACGACAGGGCTTCAGCCTGTGGCGCGAGCGGGAAAGCGGGCAACCACCAAGGGCTCCATGAAACAAGCGCACGGTGGGTCACCTGCAACCTCCCGGGGGAGCCAAGCTAAAATCAGTGCCACTCAATGTGTCTTCCTTCCTCCGTTCCTCAAGTAGTCCACAAAATGACTGCCAACGACCATCTGGCTTTTATGTAAAGGACCAACGAGAAAGGAATGACTAGGGCTGTTTTAAAATTATCTGTAACTTTGTTCAATAAAAAAAGTAAAAATCAACATACCGGTAAGAGCCAACTGCTCTGAAGGATGAAACTTTATAGAATTTACTGCAAAACAAAAACATTACAAAATAGGTATAAAACAATATATCATCAACATCTGTCATAATAACATGCATCAAAAGGTAACTTTAAAACTTAAAAAAAAAACTATAACAGTTCAATATTAGATCCTCCCGCTCAATTAAGCTAACAATTAATGCAGAGACACGTGAATAAATGCAGATACGTGAAAAACTCATAGAACGTAAACAATCAAATTACTGACATATAAGACACACAGAAAAGCAACACTAATAACCTACTTCTTTTCATAGATAAGGAAGCTCTCTAGGGTTAAAACTGAATCAGGAAGAAAGAGAAGACATACTGATGCCAAGAGATGGAGACAGGCTGTCGCAGATACTACGCCCACCCCCCTACCCATCCCGACCCGTCCAGGAGGCCCTGTGAGCACAGCAGGCGGGCGCCGCCAGCTCGGGGAGAGTCAGGATCTCCTGGCTGAGGGAGGCGTGAGGCCCTTCGCAGGAAGGAGTAGCCACAGGACAGGGTGCAGCCCTCCCCCCGCCTCGGCCGTGGGGCAACGAGACGGCAGGTGGAGGGTGTGGAGGTCGGAGCCCAGCTGCAGGGACCTCTCTGCAGGGTAGCCAGCGCTCACACCCCCATGGTGAAGACAGGACAGCATGGGACGTTCCAGCAAATGAAGCAAGTTCTTTCAGGAAGATTCCATCAGCTATGCCACTGGGTAGTCTCTTTTCCCAAGGAACTGACTCCAATGAGCCAGTGAGTGTAGACCGCGGGGAGGTGGTGGAGGGGTAGATGGACACAGCAGCTTCCTGAGCGCCGGCAGCAAGCCGTCACGACCCTGCACACACGCACACGCGCGCATACGGCAGGACGTCGCTGGGGTCAGGAGCAACTGGCGAGCTCGGTGGCCACCTCTCACCTTGACATCCGTGCAAACCTGAATGCACTAACCAGTGCCACAGGCGGCCCTCCCGGCCCGTGACACGTGCTTGGTGACAGAGCACAGGCCGCACCCAGTCGGGAACGCGGCACACAGCGGGCGCTTCACGACTGTCGCTGCTGCAGTGCTGGCACAACAGAGCACAAACGAGGACAGGCCCGCACGGGCACATGGCTGCAGCCACACCGCGCCCCGTCCCCCGGCAGAGGGTCAGCAGACCGTGGCTGACGCAGAAAAGGAAGGGGAGCCCCGCCGGCACCTTAGTCAGAGACGTGCGGCACCCCCAGCACGCGGCTGCCTCAGTTCCCAGCGGCCACACCAGGAGCAGAAAGGGAGAAGCAGCCAGAGACCAACGTTCTTCCCAAAAAGCTTCAAAGACACCCGATCTTTAAAGGGTCTGTGCACCCGACGTCAATACAGACGTACGGGAACAGGAGGAAGCACCATCCCTCGCACGAGAGGGCTCTACTAGGGGGTCGGGCGGGGGCGGCCGCAAAGCCCAGCACGTGACTCTCGAGGCAGAGGGGACGGCACACAGGAGGGTCCTCTGTTCAGGTGAGGCTGGAACAAGGCAGGAGAGAGACGGCAAACCACCTGCAGTGAACTATGCCGATGAGAAATCCCAGGCGCAGGGCTCTCCCTTCGGGCTAAGGGGACCTCGAGTCATCACACCACCTAGTGGAAAGACCAAACCCAGGACACGAGCAATGCGGAGACAGTGTCCGTGAGGACAGCACCGCGGGAGAAGGGAAGGCCAGACACCCCAGCCTCCCGGTGCCCAGGGCAGTGCCACTCCGGAGGGGGGGGGGGGCGCGCAGGGCGGCCGGTGAAGAGCTGGGTGTCCAAGCCGTCCAGCAGGAGGGGAGGCGCCAGGGAAGGGACAAAAGGGATGACAAAGGAACAGATGCCACATGGAGTTTGGGCACCGGAAAGGCATGTCGCACAGGAAGACAGGGATGAGTCAGGGGCAGAGAGAGAGAGCAGGTCGAAGGAAACATGAGGCACGTCGCGGGCAGCTGTGAACAAGACACACGTAGCCACGATTGACAAGAATCATGCTGTCACCACTTGGCGAGGACAAGAACAGAGGATCTCGTCCGAGGCAAGGCAGACGGCCCTCCTTCCAGCAGGAGGGAACACCTGTCTAAAACTCCAACCCTCAGAAATAGTACAATCGGCTACTGAGAAAAACGGAAGAAGGGGGCACGGGGCCAGCTCTGCTGGAGAAGCACATGACTCCTGACCTCGGGGTCAGGAGTCTGAGCCCCACAGTGGGGGGGAGGTTACATGAAAAATGGAAGAAAAAAGCTGAATACATAAAGCTATCAAAGTGGTTCCCTTTTGGGAAGTGAACTGGAGTAAGGAGAGCAGGCAGCAAGTGCTGTAATTATCTACACCGGCTGGCTGATACCCTCTGAGTTTTCCGGTGATGTGCACGTGTTTTGTTCTACAAATGTTTTCCAGGAATAAACATGCAGAGAGGAGACAGGCCACGGTGCCCACCTGCACCCTGAGCACCGCCTCCCCTGCCCGGGGACCGTCTTCTGAGACACTCACCTGCTGAGGGACCCCCGAAGGAACGAGACCCCAAGAAAGGGGAAAGCATGGGTCAGAGCCCAGACAGGACAAGATGTGCCCCCCCCACCCAGGGAAGGGCTGGCACCCAGGCCCGCAGGTAGGGGCACACCCAGCCCCAGAAGCAGAGGGCAGGTGCACCCAGGCTGTCTATGAGAGCAGGGGTGCAGCGGTGGCTGTGCAGGGGAGAGTGAATGGGGAAGCAGCCGACAGGCACTGGAGTGGAGGGCACACCAAGCACAGAGGGCGCCCAGAGGGCAGGGAGAGAGCCGCGATCAGGACACAAGGGTGCACACAGGGCGGCTCACAGGAGGGGACGAGCGGCCACACCGGCGGCGGCAGCGGGCAGCACGGGCAGGAAGCCCCGGGACACACGGCTTCCCTCCCTGGGCCCTGATGCGTGCAGAGCACACGCCAAAAGGGAGCCTCTGAAACGGGCACGCGTTCGCAGACAGACGTCCATACTTCAGTTCTGGGCAACGGGAAACGGAGCGCAGACAAACCCTACTGGTCCGGCGCGCAGGGCGGCGGAGCAGCCCCTTCACGAGGCTCACGGCCAGAGGCAGCGCATGGCCGCCCGCCCGCCGTGAGGGCCGCCCGCCCGGCAGCACAAGGCCCGGCCCGCCCCAGAGCGCTCACCTGACCCCACGTGGCCCGAGTACTTGACGAGGCACCGGCCTGTCTCTATGCTCCACAGCAGGGCCGTGTGATCTGCAAGACCCAAAACACAAGAGTAACTGACCCATCACCAATTTTACGGTCTTCAAGCAAAAGTGAGAAGTTACATTACCACTAATATCTCTTGCAACTCTAGATCAGAAAACATGTTTCCAAGACAGGAGAAGTGGATGATGTGTCCCAGTCAAGGGGGCGGCAAATGGATACCCAGGGACTTGAGACTCGGGGCACATGGTCACACTGACTGCACCTCGCCAGGGTCCTTCTAACCTATCATGCCTTCCTGTTTGGTTGAATTAACACTTTCCAGATCATCAGGCAGTATTGAAATGCAAAACTCCAGTTACAAATTATTTGAGACCTTACATATTTGTTTGGACCTTTCCTCTTGTAAGAGGAATAAAAATAGAAAACCTGAAAAATAAATGTCAAGTTTCCAAACGAGATCTAAGAGATATCAGAAACGAACCCTTTCATTCTTTCTCTTTAACTATAATGGAATTTCTAAAACACTGGGGAGTGCTCCCAAGTGAACACAATTTTGAACAAGTGAACTTTTTTCATGGTTCTAAGTGCTGTAACATTTTCTCCTTCTATTAAAAAGCAGAATCGGGGCGCCTGGGTGGCTCAGTCAGTTAAGCTTCTGACTCTTGATCTCGGTTCAGGTCATGATTTCAGTTTGTGGGATCAAGCCCCATGTCAGGCTCTACACTGACAGCATGGAGCCTGTTTGGGATTCTCTCTCCTACTCTCTCTCTGCCTCTCACTCACTCTCTCTAAATACATAAATAAACTTTTTCAAAAACAAAAAAAACAAAAAAAAGCAGAATCCAGTGGGGTACCTGGGGGGCTCAGGCAGTTGAGTGTCTGACTTCAGCTCAGGTCATGATCTCAAGGTTCATAAGATCGAGCCCGGGATCAGGCGCTCTGCTATCAGCACACAGCCCGCTTGGGATCCTTTGTCTCCCTCTCTGTCTCTGCCTCCCCCCCCAATCACTCTTGGTCTCAAAAATTATTAAAAAAAAAAGCACCTGGAAAAATCATTTTCAACAAGGAAGCACCACTTTTTAACTTTACTTAATTTTTATCTGAAAGGGTATTGGGTTATGGACCTTGGATAGCTTTCAAGTCCTATCTTTTCTTTAATGAGAAAACAGGGTCTCTAAGGCCTGGCCCAGAGTCCCACAGGCCAAAAGGGCTCCCAGCAGCCCCGCCTGCACCTACACCCTAGGACAGCCAGCACCCCCTTCAGGACTACGGGCCCTTCCCTGGACTACGCCCCACAATTCAAGCAGATACACCCTCAACTGTGAGCAACAACGAAGGCCCTAGCCTCTTTAAAAGACATTCTACCGTTTGCCTCCGTGAACACAGGCGGCTCGATCCTGGAGCAGCGTCTGCTCACCCCACAGCCGCCGTCACCCCTGCACGGCAGCAGGGCCTAGCGGAGCACAGCAAGGCCAAACAAACGCTCCTCGGCTTCAAGGGCCGTCCGGCCTCCCACCCGCCTCCAGCGCCAACTCTGCCACCCACACCGTGGGTGAGTCATCTGCACCGGCTGTCACACCCGACAGGCTGTGCACTTACCGGCAGACGCAGTGCCCAGCACCACAGGCTGTGTCCTCGCCACACTGACGTCCCAGATGCCATCCCTGTGGCCAATGTACTCCTTCACGAGCTGGCACACGGCCCTCGACGTGGTGGTCTTGAAGCTGGAGACAATCTAAAACCATGATGGGAAGGAGCGTTGTAGACAATTTACTGACCGAATGTTTTTAAGTTAAAAAAGGTAAAACAGAAAAAGGCGTGTTGAAGTGCAGAGGCCCCTGAACAGACATCTAAAGCATTAAGGGAAGACAACAGAAGCGCAAATGGCAGCATCCCTCCAGCTGGGTGTCACAAAGCAGCAACAAAGGCCGTCCTAAGGCCTCAGAAGACCCCCCAGGCCCCCACAAACCCCGTGTGTCCTCCCATGACGAAGAGAGGGGCCTATTACACGCTGCAAGTCTCTTCCTCAAATCCAAACCAGAAGAAATTTCCAAATTCTTTAATTAAAAAAAAAAAAAAGAGGTACCAGGACATGAAGAAGTCGAGAAGGTGTACCCACACCCTTAACACTACCTTTTATTACTGGGGAACTTTCATTTTTTCCCATTTTTGGTAATTTGCACCAACTACGGATTATCAGGAGGAAAAGAGCCCAAGGTGGGGAGAATCCAAAGACGACACTTCTAACGGATGCGGTTTGTCCAACAGTGTTTATTGCGCGCAAGCGCGGTGCCAGCGCTGCACCGGAGACACACAAAGGGACAGCAGGCCCCGGCCTCGGGCAGCTCACGGTCTGACGGGAACAGACAGGGAACCACGAAGGTGCACACGAAGTGAGGCATCGTCTCGAATTACACACAGCAAACAAGTCTCACTTTCTTTTACAAGGAAAAATAGAAAGTGCATGAGAAAGAAACTAATTAAACACAAACAACTCTTTAGAGTTTGCTTTTTAAACTGTTCTCAGATTTACAAAAATGGCTTTTCCGCTTTTAAGCAAGTCAGAATAATGGAGATTAATCAGAATAATGAAACTGTAAAATCAAGTGAAAAGGAAAAACTGGCGGTGTTAAACAGCTATTTCAAGCACTGATTTGGCGAAGCCCTGAAAATGAATCAAAGTTCATTCTTAGTATAAACACATTACAACACAATCCACTATTACATCAATTCGGGCATGAACATTCAAACCAGCCTCCGATGAGGGGGCCGCCGACTCATGTTTAATGGAGACGGACTCTTCCAGCAGTAACACCAACAGGCTCCATCTGACTCGGCTTCAATTTTACCAAAGGACTTGCTCAAATGCAACTCCTCATCTTCTTTTTCCTTCTGAAAGCTCCTACCCCATCCAAGCTAGCGAAACTGTCCCTCCACACCATGGAAAAGTGCTTCTGCTGGCGCAAGGTGCCGTTTGGGTTTCCAGAAGGCAGCATTTAGGAACGTGCAAAGCTTGCCCCACAAGAAGTGGCAGTACACTTCAGCTTCCAAGCCTCCTGCCGTGCGTGACACAGACGTCACTAGGAGAAGAAAGGAACTAGCAGAGCCACACGCCCGCCCCAGCCCGCTCGGACAGGAACAACACAAAGCCACTGCTCAAGACTCATGCCAACCGCATTCCTGGCGCAACTTTGGAAGCCTGCCACATGTAGTTCACGAGCACTGTAACAAATCATGTCAAGTGTTGCTTCCAAATGCCCACTACACTCTTGAATACCTATTAACTCTTTGATCTTAAAAATGCTGACCCATTCACAACTGCAAAGAGGCCCCACAAAAGACTGAATTACTCACAGAGTTTATGACAGAAAAGCACAATAAAGTGACAAAGTGATGCTTATACCTGTCATCCTAATTATCATTCTCATTAAGATACAATCTAAACTACTTCAACGGAATTAGAAAGGGCTTTATTCACAATGTGAGATATTTATCTTTATATAAACATGTGTGAACATTTTCACAAGTTTCTCTCAAGTTAGGCAGTCACACCTCCCTCCCAACAGACATCAGCAACCTGTCCCCAGCCACCCAGGAAGGGAAGACCTCTTGTGCCTGCTGAACGCACGCGGGCTCCCAGCACCCCCCCACACACACTCCTTGCCTTTTGGGGCTGAGTCAGGAGGCAAGTGACATGGGCTCCCTCCCATACATACTAAGCAGTACCGCCAAGGCCGGAGGCCCCAGCATGGATCAGAATGTACTCCGGGACCAGATTTGTTCTTCAACTTTCAGATAACGTCTTACATTATTATTCTTCAATGTGCACGCTAAAGATCATTAATAACATGTTCCTTATGCACTGAGATAAATTTCTAGTCTAAAACGGCAGGAGCTTTAACTATATCTAATACATTTTTTTTACTTTTTTTTTTTTTAAGTTTTTTATTTATTTTTGCGACAGAGAGAGACAGAACATGAGCAGGGGAGGGACAGAGAGAGAGGGAAACACAGAATCCGAAACAGGCTCCAGACTCCAAGCTGTCAGCACAGAGCCCGACGCGGGGCTCAAACCCACGAACAACAAGAATATGACCTGAGCCGAAGTCGGACACTTAACCAACTGAGCCACCCAGGTGCCCCTTTTAACTTTTTTTTTTTTTTTTTTTAACATTTATTTATTTTTGAGAGACAGAGACAGAGCATGAGCAGGGAAGGGACAGAGAGAGAGGGAGACACAGCATCTGAAGCAGGCTCCAGGCTCTGAGTGGTCAGCACTCGAACCCACAGATTGCAAGATCATGACCTGAGCCCAAGTCGGACGCTTAACCGACTGAGCCACCCAGGCACCCCTAATACATTTTGTTTTAAAGCAGAGTATTATTGTATGTAACCTCCCTTTGCCCAAATCTCGTATTTTACTATTCCTAGTAAGGGACAACTTTATACAATCTGTTCATCTTCTGCTTCAGATGGTCAGAGTATTTCCAAATTCTAAGACCATATACATTGTACACACAAGCTGTGCCCAATGGAATAAACAATATAATTTAAGGTGATATAACAAGAAATTAGACGAGGAAGAACATAATCTCACAATGCATTTCAAAAAAAAGTTTGATATTAATTTATTAACTTAGAAACTAATAAGCTAGATAATACATAACAAAGAAATTTTTTCACTAAACACACTTTGGAGTTATCAAAGGAAACACAAGAAAATGTAATCAATATTTGTATTTTTTAAATAACAAAGTACTGAAAGTTTTCAAATAAGCAGAAACAGCAGCCGAGACTGATCTGCTTTATCACTTGTAGTTAATCTTACTGTGAAGGTCAAGCTACAAAACTTTAAGCTCAAGGGAACGAACTGGAAAAACAAAGTTGACAGTAACTATGCCATCACAGCAGACTCATCACAAATTTCAACTTTTCCCTCAGGTTTAGCAAAAGGAATGTACGTTCATTAAAGTTAGGTAAAAATTTTTCTTCTGTATATTCAAAATGCTCCAAAGTAAAAATGCACACAAAATTACTTCAAAATATTACTTCACAGCAGTGCTCCCTCACAGATAAACTTATTGCCAAATAATTAAATCCTCGCCACTTTAAGAAGGTCAGAACAAGATTATTTTTAAAAAAGTAAAATACCACACATGTCCCTATTTGCCATGGAGACAGAGACAAGATCTTCACGTCTGGATAAGGCTCAGAAAATGAGAGAAAAAAAGCAGGTGAAGGAAAACATGCCTGTGGTTCACTCCATTACCTTTGTCCAAATTCAGAGCCTCTGTATCAAGCCAAATAATGATACAAAATGTATTTTCCCTCCAAAAAGACACGGTACCTACTAACGGGCATCATTGGATTCTCACTCGTACCGGGGCAAGGGAGTGCCTAGGGGTCCATGTGCTGTGGCCATTTCACAGACCCGTGATACGCCCTTTAAATATCAAATTTTTCCAAACAGCAGAAGTGCCTCTTTCTCTGTTGCACGTTTATAACTGGAAAATATGCAACTTCAGGTACACATCCGCACACCTCAAATACCACATGAGCGGCCCGAGAGCCAGCGCCTTGCGTACCTTGCTGGTAGAGGCCTTGTAAGTGGTCTTCAGCTTCTGAGAGAGCTGGCTGGTGCTGTGGCTGGCTGCGGAGACAGAGAGCCGACGTCAGGGCCACAGAGCCCCAGAGCTGGGGCCGACTGGACCGGGAGCCCCACCTCTCGCTGCCCACAGGAAGACGGTGAAACCCGAGGGCCCGGCTGGAACAAGATGCCCAGCTTCCTGGCGTCCCTCTCTGCCCCCACCCACGCCTGATTCCACGCCCCAAGCACCGCTGACTGCAGAGCAACCAAAGCCACGTCCTCCACCAAACCTCCCCCACGTGTAATGGGTCGGCAATCCTGCCAGGAGCGCGCACCCTTACCTTTTGTTTTGAGCTGGCCCTTACTCAGTTCCGCCCCATCGATCGCTTGTCCTTCAGCAGCTAAACGTTCATTAAGAGTCTCAATCTCCCTACGCACTGGGAATAAAAAGGTTTTTTCAAATGTAAGATATGCACTTTTATGTTTAAACAATTCACCACTTCCAAAACCCGAGTGCAGAAAAATATCCCATGTAAGTACTGTCTAAACACAGGCGTGAATGATACCCTAACAAACAAGACCACAGTTCACAGAGTTCTCAAAATACTCAAGACGCCTTTCAAACACTAAGAACCACTGCTCTCCCTACACTGGAAGACTGTTCCCGGCACTTGCAGGCAGGGCTGCTGGGCCTCAAGGCAGGCCATCTTCTTTGCCCTTTATTCTGTACACTTGAAGACATTTTCCTGATACTGTCCAAAATTCAGTGAAATGTTTACAGTCTAGCTGAGAACACTCAAATCGGGAGGGAAAACACAACAAAACATAACAACTGCTGAGCAGCGGCACCACAGCGCGCCAAGTAAGGATTATATAAAACAAAGATTAAAAATATCGGTTAAGCGTCCGACTTCGGCTCCAGTCATGGTCTCACGGTTCCTGGGTTCGAGCCCCGCGTCGGGCTCTGTGCTGCCAGCTCAGAGCCTGGAGCCTGTTTCAGATTCTGTGTCTCCCTCTCTCTCTCTGACCCTCCCCTGCTCGTGCTGTCTCTCTCTCTCTGTCTCAGAAATAAATAAAACATTAAAAAAAAATTTTTTTTTTAAATTGAAGGAGAGTCATGAAACAGGACTAGTAAGTACAGAACCCCAGGGAAAGAAGGAAGAGGAAGGTCATCAAGAAGGCAATCAGCAGACACTTGTGCTCACGACCTCCTCAGCACCTGGTGCTCCAGAACAGGCCTGGAGGAAAAGGGTCATCTTCCACCCGCAGGGATGAGGAACGACACGCGGCCAAGGGACGTGACTGGGCCGAGGACACAGCCACTACAGCGAGGCAGCAGGGCCATGAGCTGACCACACAACCCCCCAAGCCGGGCTGTGCACCTCCCAGGACGATGCACCCTCTACTCAGGCTATGGCGAGACCAAGGGGCCGGGTCAGGCGGCAGAGAGGGTGAGGGCAAAGGCTGTGAGCAGGCCTGGCAGAGGCAGGGCGCCAACAAAGCCAGTCAGCACGAGACCACGTCAACTCAAAGCACACCCGGCAGCAGTCATCTGTAATCCTACAGCTTGTCTTGCGTAAACTGCATAAATTCAAAAAATATTAAGGCCTCACCTCACAACAGAAAGTCAACAATGCTTTGGTCATTACAACTGATACTTTTTTATTTAAAAGAGAGAAAGAAGAGAGAACAAGCAGATGAGAGGAGCAGAGGAGGGAAGAGAGAGACACACAATCTTTTTTTTTTTTTTGAAAGAAAAACAGAGAGCGCAAGTGAGGTAGAAGCATAAAATCCCAAGCAGGTCCACACCGTCAGCACAGAGCCCGATAACACGGCTCAAACCCATAAACCGTAAGATCATGACCTGAGTTGAAATCAGATGCTCAACTAACAGAGCTACCCAGGTGCCCCAAGAGAGAGAATCTTCAGTCAGTCAGTCAGTCAGTCAGCCTCCTCAAGGCTTCACCCTTGAGACCAAAACAGGGTTCAATCCCACAACCCTGGGATTGTGACCTGAGCCGAAATCAGAGTCAGATGCTCAACCAACTAAGCTGCCCAGGAGATATTTATACAATTTTTTTTTTAATATTTTTATTTATTTCTAGGAGAGAGAGAGACAGCGTGAGCAGGGGAGGGTCAGAGAGAGAGGGAGTCACAGACTGAAACAGGCTCCAGGCTCTGAGCTGGCTGGAACCCACGAACCGCGAGATCATGACCTAAGCGAAAGTCGGATGCTTAACCGACTAAGCCACCCAGGCGCCCCCATATACAATATTTTTTTAAAAAACCTTAAAAATCAGAAGCAGAACATGGTACCTAATTTTTATTTTATAAAAGTTTCGAATAATTTCTCCCTCTGTAAATTTCCAAAATGGACTCATAAGGAGAATCCAAAAATAAAACATTAAATTTTCCAAAGCACAATTTAAATGACATAGGATTTATTCTCTTCACTACTGATTCAACCACATCACTGAGTTCTAGAGTGAAAAATATTTTAATAATGTGAATGCTGTTTATTATTAGAGTTCAATGTTTAAAATCACAGTATAAAGCATGAAGACAATAAGATTATAGCTATATTTGCATAATATAGATTTTATCAACACAAACCTTATAAAAATAAAAACTATAAAATAATGAAGCAGCAAGTAAATAAAAAAAAGGCAGGTTTCTTTCCTGATGTTTCAGAGGAATATGAGCACATGTGGCCTAAACCTGACAAGTTAAAAGTAAAAGTAAACTAAGTTTACAAAAATAATTACAGGAAATAAAAGCAAAAACTGTAGAAAATGTCTTTGTTTGCAGGATAGGATAAAATGGGTCAACAGGCAGGGGTAATGGTAGTTAACTTTTTACTTTTTATACTGCTTTTATTTTTTAAAGTGACCTCTATACCCAATGTGGGGCTCAAACTCGTGACCCTGAGATCAAAAGTTCTCTGCTCCACCGACTGAGCCGGCCAGAAGCCCCTATACTGCCTAATTCTTTAAGCAAATGAAGGCACGGCTTCTATAAAAGAGCTAAAAAGAAAAACTAAAGCCAAGCTAATTTAAAAATTCTTTTGATCTGGGGCATCTGGGTGCTCAGTGGTTAAACGTCCCAGTCTGTTGGCTGACTCGTGAGTCCGAGCCCTGCGTCAGGCCACGCGCTCACAGGGCAGAACCTGCCTGGCTATCCTCTCTCCTTCCCCTGCCCCTCTCCGTGCTCCTTCCCAGCTCGTGTGCACACACTTTCTCTCCAAAATAAATAAATGATAAGTACATACTTTTGATTTATCTTTAAAATAAGTCAAACAGACAATACATTTTAAGAAATTCTCAAAATAGAGTATATTTTAAAAGAAAACATGCATCAACAATTTCTCAATTTACAGTATACTTTATGTAGGAATAGTTCTAAGAAGCATTTTTCATAAAACCATAATCTGAATGGGCCAGAGTGGCCAGCAGAATACTACCCACTCCGAAGGTAACCTGTGAGCACGTGACCTCCGTGGCTGAGGGGCCCTCTGACGGGGGGGGGGGGTCACCCTGCATGGCCCAATGACCCAGCCCTCCCTCACCTCCTTAGGAATGGCTCAGAGATGCTCGCTGCTGAAGGCTCTGAAGACTGACAGGGGAAGGACTTCAAGCCAAGGGGTGAGGCAGGCTCTAGACACTGGGACTCTGTCCTTACTTACAGTGCAAAGAACTGAAATCTGCCACAGTCCAAACAAGCAAAAGACCGGCCCTCCCCTCGCCTCCAGATGCACAGTCCTGCCAACGCCTTGACTTGAGCCTGCTGGGAGAGCCCCCCACAGTTGTGACTAGTGACTTTTAAGATAATAAATCAGGGTCACTCAAAGCCACTGTGTTACAGAACAGAAAACAGTTCAGTGGTGACTATCTACCCAAATTCTATAAAGGCTTATTAAGACGGGAGATACTTACATTCTAAGTTTTCAATGTAAAGGTTTTCAAACTCTCTCTCTATTTGACCAAACAGCTCCAAAAGTGTACTGCGAACCGAGGAAGGCAGTTTAGAATCCTAAAGAAAAGGAAGACTCTATTTAAAATGAATGAATAAAAAACTTTTCCCAAGTGAATAATCATTTTTCTCTTGACTTATTTTACATATTATTTTTTATACATAAAACGCTTACAGAACTTACAGTTCCACATTTCTACACATGAAACTACAATGAAATGATACAAATGGACACCCAGCACGATGCAGGATTCAAGAACAAGCACTTCCTCAAAACAACATAATCTTCCTTTTACAAGAGAGGAAACAAGCCTACCATATTCAAAAACCTCCACATTTCTAGAGAAGGAAGACAGTTCCCAGAAACACATTTTCATCATACATTGCCTTCAAGTTCTACCGTGTCATTATAAATTAATTTTAATAAGCTATATGCTAAGAGAAGTGCTTTAACAGAGCGCTCCCATCCGTGGTGCTTCCGACAAAATCCTGGGTACTTCCTAGGACTCTGCCTCATACCTACAAGACTGTGAGGAAGGAAGCTTGAGAAATCTGACTGGTAAGAGCAAACCGTGTCAGTCAAAGGAGAACATCCACATGTTAAGTGTCAGGAGCAGCACGCTGCACGTGCCCGCACACCTGTCCCCGTGCTCTGCACACCCGTAGTCCCCTCTATGCCTCACGGGAAGCCCACAGGCAGGAGCAACCCTCTGCGGAAGTCTGAGGTCCGAGTGACTGGACGGCGTCCCCGGTCCCACCCGTGCTCACGCACACACACTTTCCTCACACTGCTGGTCATGGGGAGTCTGCAGTCTACACTGCTCTCCTCTCCAGAGAGCGTGGCATACGTGCTAGCTCCTGGGCCCCCGCGCTCAGCACTCAAGAGTATTTCCAAATGGAGCTCTTAACAGACGGTTCTAAAATGCTTCAGTGCTTAACTGCCGCCAATTAACTTTCTAAGTGACTTTTCACATTTCTGGGCGGCACAAACTTTTTGATGTTTAGTCGGTTGCAAATAAAAAAACATATATTAAGTTAAACTTCCTAGATTAAGTTCTTAGGAAGACAGAAATTCTTTTTTTTTTTTTTTTTTTTATTTCTAGGAGAGAGAGAGAGACAGCGTGAGCAGGGGAGGGTCAGAGAGAGAGGGAGACACAGACTCCGAAATAGGCTCCAGGCTCTGAGCTGGCAGTCAGCACAGAGCCCGACGTGGGGCTCGAACCCACGAACCGCAAGATCATGATCTAAGCGAAAGTCGGACGCTTAACCGACGAAGCCACCCAGGCGCCCCTTAGGAAGACAGAAATTCTAAGCAAAATGATCTCTAATGACATAAGCATTTCAGCAATGTTTTGAAATCACATAATGTATCAGTAAATTTGACAAGCCAATAAAAACTATGTATGAAGCCATGTTTAAAAACTGAAATTTGGCAGAACGGGTAATATAGCCTCCCTCAACACCCTTCTAAAGTACCAATGAATAACAATAAAATTTTGAAATAACAGTAAAAAGAAAAATAAACTCTGAGTGTTAGCATTCAGCACGCCCTCCACCTTGCCCAGGGGCCTTGGCACCCGCTCTCCGGCTCCGCTGCGTTCGTCCCGCACCCTCGTGCGGCCAGTGCCCCTCGCACGGGCACTTGGTGAGAAGCCGTTCTGACTTCTCCATCGAGGCCAAGTCTCCTCCTACACGCACTGGTTCCTGCTCACCTACACCCACAGCGTCTTATTATCCTTACTGGTCAACAACCGAAACACCACATTTACTTTAGTAAATGCATCTTAACATGGAGCGTCATCACCACTGGAGACAAAACTGGGATGTCAGCGACAGCCTCACCTGACAATCAGGAAGCGGAACGTGCAGTGAAAGGGGAACGTTCCCACCAGGCAGGTGGAGCCACGTGAGAGCCCCCAGGCCGCCTGCTGGTGCCATTCCACTTCCCGGCCCCGGGCAGGGAGGTGCTCAACGCTGGGCACCATTTCAGAAAAGTGAAGACACAAAAGCTACTCTGACGACCGAGGCCCTCATGTGCACGTTATCGCGTCCACACCACCGCGGGTGCAGGGCCTCTCTCCCGGGCTGGTCTGCACCCCGGCACACACAGACTCGGCCCCGATCCACGCCCATGGACCCGCGTCCTCGTGCTGAGCACCGCACTCCCACACGCTTCGCATCCGTGGCTCTGAGGGTAACAGTACCGCAGCGGCGCCTTCATGCTACCTGTGCGGCGTCTAGTGCTGCTCCCAGATAACCGTAACCTTGTCTACACGGTGCGGGGCCGCTGTTCCACTCAAATCCGTGGCTAACTGGCCCATGGTTCTGGGATCCCTCCACCCACACCTACCATGCCGGCTGCCAGCAACAAACACCGCCGCTGCGGTGCCCCTGCCCCGGCACCAGACCGCACACGTCACACCAGCCGGCGGAAACTGTGCCAACAGGGGGCGCCGTCCGGGGACTGCTGAAGACCCCGAGGGGAGGGCCCCAGGGCGTGGCAGCCCGTCCTGGCTCTGACAGGCCCCCACAAAGGGCCACCCAGAGATGCAGTTACCTGCTTTATCTGCATCACAATGGAGGCCGGGCACCCAGAAGGCCCAGCAAAGAACACATTCGCCCCCCACGGAGCCGGCTCCAGAAGACGCTAACGAAGGCGGCTGGGGACTTCCACTAGAGATGGAAGTAAATCAAATTAGAAACCGTATCCTGGACTCTTTCCCTGCCCTGTCTGATACGGTAGCCAGTGGCCACGTGTGGTTATTTAAATGTAAATCAATTAAAATTTTAAAAATTCCTCAGCCACACTAGCCACTCGTGTGTGTGCAGGCTGTGACATGTGACCGTTCTTCCCGGGTGCTGCAGGAAGGGGCTAGACTTGTTCTGGCAACGCACGTCTCCTCACTCTGGGACCTGAATGTGCTGGCTACTTCTGGAGCACCGGAAGCAAGAACAGCACTAACTCACCTGTCCTTCCAGCATCTCTCTTGGCAGGCCCGCCCTCTCCTGCTCCGAGCTGTTGGTTCTTCGTATGGAAAGGCTATGAGATTTGCGTTTCTGTTTTGCTTGGCGAGCAGTGGAGCAGCTCCCGCTTTCTGTGGGCATTACTTCTAGAAGGTGATGTCCCGCTCGCTCCTGCAATAAGCTAAACAAAAGCAGAAAAAGCAAGGACTTTATTTCTGATTCCAAACTAGAATGAAGGAAAATAGTAGACAATTAATACTTTCAATTCCAAATCTCTTTACTATGGTAATATTTACTATGTAATTCACAACGTGACAAAATAACACGTTTTAAGACAGAAGCCACAGACTTTGTTAAAGAGATAATTTATCAAATTTCATTAAGTTTTGACAAAGTCAATAGCAAAGAAGGGCTTAAACAATTCACCCTTAACCAACTTTCCCCAGCCTCTGCCTACTCCCCCGAGAGAACCAATTCTAGTCACGTTCTAGACTACAGCTTCTAGAGCAATCTGTCCGAGAAACATAGCACAGGCCATACGCAGTAACTGTAAAATTTTTAGTAGCCACAGTAAAAGAATTAAAACCGATGAAATCAGTCTTAATGATTTATTCAGCCAACTGTGTTTAAAATACTATCACTTGAGGGGCACCTGGGTGGCACAGTCGGTTAAACACCCCATTCTGGGTTTCAGCTCAGCTCATGATCCCAGGATTGTGGGATATAGCCCTCATTGGGCTCTGCACTAAGTGTGGAGCCTGCTTGGGATGCTCATTCATATTCATTCATATTCTCTCTCTCTCTCCCCCTCCCCCCCATCACTCTCCCCTGCTAGTGCTCTCTAAAATTTTTAATTATAAAAATACATAAATAAAACACTATCACTTTAGACAACGTGAAAAACACAGGTATTTCCATTTGGGTGCTGCATCTTCAACAAAACCTTTTTTTCAACATTTATTTTTGAGACACAGAGACAAATGTAAGCGGGAGGAGGGGCAGAGAAAGAGGGAGACAGAGAATCCCAAGCAGGCTCCAGGCTCTGAGCTGTCAGTGCAGAGTCCAACGCCGGGCTCGAATTTACAAACTGTGAGATCGTGACTTGAGCTGAAGTCGGACGCTTAACCAACTGAGTCGCCCAGGTGCCCCAGAGTGCCACATTTTCAAACTCTTGTCATGTCTTTCACATTCTCGGTGCGTCTCAAGGGAATCGGCCACACACCCCCATGCTCACCTGCTCAGGGCTGCCATTAGACAGCACAAATCTGGATGTCATTCAAATTTCTACATAATGTAAACATTTTCACTTACTCACTTCGGACATTATCTACTTGTTTCCTGCTACCGACTCCTCCTTCCTATATCACAACTTTGTTAATATAGTTATTCATACATGATGTTTGTTTCTTCAACTGTAATTTATGTTTAGAATGTGACCTGCTCATTTTGTGTTCTTACTGATCCCTCCTTCTCCCGATATGTCTATTAGTTTATATAATTTTAAGATATTCATGGATCGCCCTTCTTCCACCACTGACAATGTCTTTGAACCTCTCCATCTCTGCCTCACTTTCTAAGAAAGCCTCCAAGCGTCCCTTTTTCCTCAAGCTCTCCCGCACAGCCATCCATCTCCTCTGTCATTTGAGAATGTCCTACAAATGCAGAGTATGTGCCTCTTCAAGTTTTGAGCCTCATGCTCTAGAGATCCATGCAAGCTGTTACCTGCACCAACAGTTACTTCCTTCTGATTACTGGGTAGTATTCCACAGTGTGAATATACCACAATGTAACCCATTCGCCTGTTTCAAAAAAAAATGTTTTTTTGTTCTTTCCAGTTTCTAATACAAATAAAGCTACTATGAACAATAATAGAGAGGTTTTTGTGTGAATGTAAGTTTCCACTTCTTTTGGATAGTGTCCACGTGTGAGATTTCTGGAGCATATAGTCAATGTATGTTTAGCTTTCAAAAAAAAACTTTTATTGAGATTTAACTCACCAATCATATAACTCATTCTATGGCCAGCCCTAGGCACCCACTAATCTACTTTGTACATAAATTGGCCCATTCTGGGGCGCCTGGGTGGCTTAGTCGGTTAAGCGTCCGACTTTCGCTTAGGTCATGATCTCGCGGTTCGTGGGTTCAAGCCCCGCGTCGGGCTCTGTGCTGACTGCCAGCTCGGAGCCTGGAGCCTGTTTCAGTCTGTGACTCCCTCTCTCTCTGACCCTCCCCTGCTCACGCTGTCTCTCTCTCCTAGAAATAAATAAAAAAACATTAAAAAAAATAAAATAAAATAAAAAATAAATTGGCCCATTCTGTCCATTTCGTATAAATGGGTTCCTACAATAGGCAGCCTGATCTATCAGGACTGGTTTTTTTCATTTAGTCAAGCTGCATCCACATTATAGCATATGTTGGTAATTTATTCCTTTTTATTGCCAAATATTCCACTGTATGGATACACCACATCTTACTAACAGTTGATGGACATTGGTTTCCATTTGTGGGTCATTATGAATAATGTCACTATAAATAATACCATTTACGTTTTTGTGTGCATTTGTGTTTTCATTTCTCTGTGTACACTCAAAGAAGTAGAACTGCAGTAACTCTATGTTTAACCACACTTAGTATTTTTAAGAAACCACCAAACCATTCTCCAAAGCAGCTATAACATCTAATATTCACATCAGCAATGCAGGAAATTCTGTTTGCACCCTCATTTGGTATGGTCACTGTGTTTAATTGTAGTGGCTCTGGTAAGCGTGCACTATCTTGTTATGGTCTTCATTCACACTTCCCCAGTGGCTGGTGATACTGCACATCCTTTCCTGTGCTTATGTGCAATCTAAACATCTTTCTCAGTAAAATGTCTCCTCACATTTTTTCCCATTTAATAGGACTTTGGGTGTGAGTTCTGAGATTTTAGAGTTCTTCAAACATTCTTCATGAGTTACACATCAGGTATGTGTGTTGCCAATAGTTTCTCCCAGTCTGTACTTTTTTTTTTTTTGTAATCTTTTATCCCAACAGGGTTTTTCACAAAGCAAAACTTTTAAAATCTGACAAAAATCCCATTGATCAACTACCTTTCTCCTCTGTCATCATACATTTAGAATCATGTCTAAGTATTTTTTATCAATCCTATCTCCTAAAAATTTTGTATTCTTCTTAAAATTATAGTTGTATATGCTACATTTAAGTTTACGAGCTACTCTGGGTTGATATTTTTATTAAGGTGCAAAGTTTAGATCCAGGGGTATTTTTATTTTGGACTTTCTTGTTTTACTGTTTGCTGATGGTATCCAACTATTTGAGCACCACATGTTGAAGACTATCCATCTTACACTGAATTCAGAAAATCTGACATCTTGGTCAAAAAGCGATTTGCTATACACAGGTGGGATTACTTCTTGGTTCTCTATCCTGTTCACCTGATCTATATATCTATCTCTCTGCCAGTCAATTGTTGTTGTTTCTTTAAGTTTTATTTAAGTAATCTCTAGACCCAACATGGGGCTCAAACTCACAACCCTGAGATCAACAGTCAGATGCTCCATCGACTGAGCCAGCCAGGCTCCCCTGCCGATAACACTGTTGTGACTAACATGCTGTCTTGAAATCCTTTAGTGATTCCTATTTGAAACTTTTTTCAGAATTGTCTTAGCTATTCTAGTTCTTCTGCCCTTTCCATATAAATTTGAAATATTTCCCATATCTACAAAAATCTTCATGGAATTTTATTAGGAATTCTGTTTAATCTGCTCATCAATTTGGAGAGAAGTGGCATCTTTATTGTGCTGAGTCTTCCAATCTATGAATACAGTATATGTCTCAGTTTATTTAGATCATCTTTTCTTCCCTCAGTTTTGTAGACTTCCACATAAAAGTCCTACATAAGTCTTTTCAAATTTATGCTGAAGTTTTGTGTTATTTTCTGAGTAGTTTTAAATAACATTGTATTTTTATTTCCATTCTGTGTTAATTGCTAGTATCCTACACACTGTTGAACTTATTTATCAGCTTCAGTTTTTGTAGATTCTGTGGCATTTTCTATGTAGACTACTATGTCATCTAAAAAAAAAAAAAGGACAGTTTTATTTCTTCCTTTCTGATCTATAGGCCTTTATTTCCTTTTCTTATTGATCTGGCTAGGAATTCCAGTACTCTGTTGTAAATAGTGACAGCAAACATTCTGCTTTGTTTTGACTTCAAAGTAAGAACACTCTGTCTTTGACCATTAAGTATGATGCTAGCTGTAGGTTGATTGTAGATTTTGTACAGCAAAAGGAGAAGGCTCCCCTCCTGGGAGTGTCATGGATGAGTGCTGATTTTTGTCATCTGTTTTTTCTGCATCACTTATCGGTGATTTTTCTGTAGCCTGTTAAAAAATCAATGCTACTGATGATTTTTAAATACTAATCCAAATTAACATGCATGGAATACACCCTACTTATTCACAGTATATAATTCATTCCCTGTTCTCTGTTTTCCTGCCTCCTTGTGAACATTTTTTAGAATTTCATTTTGATTTATGGTATAGCTTCTTAGTTTACCTCTTCTGTATAACTTTCTTTAGTGACTACTCTAGGTACTTTATTTTTTTATTTATTTCGAGAGAAACAGAAAGAGTCCGAGCAGGGGAGAAGCAGAGAGAAGCGGAGAATCTCAAGAAGGCCCTGTGCTGTCAGCACAGAGCCCAACGTGGGGATCAAAGTCACAAACCATGACATGAGACAAAATCAAGAGTTGGCTGATTAACCAACTGAGCCACCCAGGCGTCCTTAGGTATTTTATTTTCACAACTTACAGTCTACTGATTCTCAACATTTGACCAGTTCGCAGTCATGTGCAGAAACCTCACCTTCCTGTCTCTTCACACTTCCTCATTTGTAACAGTCAAGTGAAATACTTCCTCTACATACATGGAAAACATCAGAGAGTTACACTTCAACCTTCAAACATAAGAGGAGCGTCTACTGAATTTACCGAAGTTTGCTCTTTCCACTGTTTGTTATTCCTTCCTGGTGTTCCCACATTGCTTTATATCATTTCTGTTTTGTTTAGAGAACTTTCTCTACCTACTCTCGAAGGGTGGGTCTGCTGGTGACAGATCATGTGAAATGTTTTCCTTTGATACAGAATTCTGAGTTGATAGTTCTTTTCCTTCAGCACTTGCAAA